TTAGTTATACCCCAGCTTTTTAAATATTTTTAATATCAAGGCAGGCTCTTGCTGAATTGCCCTCGAACTTGGAATCTTCAGCCTCCTTAATAGCTGGGATTATATTCCTAGGCCAGTGCAACTGGCTAAAGCTCATTTTTTAAAGTCACTTTTCCAGAGTGGGGTGTGGAGGCTGAGGCAGGAGGATTGCCTCAAGTTCGAGGCCAGCCATGAGTTCAAGGTCAGCCTGGACTACGTAGTGAAACCCTGTCTCAAACCCTCTCCCCAAAGAAAACGAGACACGAAGATCAATGGAACACTATTGAAGATGCAGAAGAAGAAAAAAAAAAAATACCAAGGACATTTTAACTCTTGATCTTTGCCAAAATCATACACTAGAGGAAAGACTGACGTTTTAATAAGTGATGGTGGGGAAACTGGCTACCCAAAGACTTTACCATGTACTAACATAAAATCAAAATGGGCTAAGAACTAAATGCTAAAACGGAAACACTTAACCTACTGAAAGGTAAAACTCTTGAGGTCATAGGTATAGGAAAGGACTTTAAACTGAACCCCAGTTGCACAGGTAATAGTACCAAAAATCAACAAATAGGGTCATATCAAATTAAAAAGCTTCCACACAGCAAAAGAAAAACCAGCAGTGAAGAGACAGCCTACAGAATGGGCAAAAATGTTTGCCAGTGATTCCTCAGACAATATAAAGAACTCAAAAGAGTTATACCCCCTCAATAAAAGATCTAGTCAAAAAATGGCCTGTGTGGTGGCGCACGCCTGTCATCCCAGCACTCGGGAGGCTGAGGCAGGAGGATCGCTGTGAGTTTGAGACCAGCCTGGGCTACATAGTGAGTTCCAGGTCAGTCTCAACTACATAGTGAGACCCTGTCTGAAACCCCCCCAGAAAAATAAAAAAGTAAAATAAAATGGGCAAGTGAAATGAACAGACACTTATCGGAAGTACCAATGGCCAATAAATACATGAAGAAATGCTCACTACTCTGTCATAAAGAAGGATGAACGAGTTCTTTGGAAGAAAATGGATACACCTTGAAACCATTTTTTTTTGGGGGGGTACTGGGGATCGAACTTGAGCCCTTGCGCTCGCAAGGCAGGCACCGGAACCAGATATGCATGTAATTTGGTATGTCTGTGCTTTTTTTTTTTTGGTCCTGGGGATTGAACTTGGGACATAGTGCTTGTGAGGCAGCAACAGAACCACTGAGCTAAATCCCTGGCCTATGAAACCATAATGTTAGGTGAAGTAAAATGGACACACAGGCTTAAATATCACATGGTTTCTCTTAAATGGAAAACAGTGTATAAATAACCACACCCCAGTACTGGGGATCAAACTCAAGACCTTGTGCTTGCTAGGCACGTGCGGCACCACTGAGCAACATCCCTGCCCCCCACAAAGTCTAAATAAAAAGTATGTGATAGTAAGTACAGAGAGATCTTCCACAAATGGGAAGAGGATTGGGAGATGGGGGGAGAGGAGGAAAGGGTGAGGAAAGGAATTAAGGTATTTGTGCACCAACTCCTCACAAGGAGTGTCATTATATACTCTATACACTAGTTTAAAGAAAATAAGCCAGGTGTGGTGGCGCAAGCCTGTGATTCCAGCACTCTGGGAGGCCGAGACAGGAGGATCTCCATGAGTTCAAGGCCAGCCTGAGTTACACAGTGAGACCCTGTCTCAAAAAAAACAAAATAAAAGGCCAGGGATTTGGCTCAGTGGTTCCACTTCCTGCCTCGAAAGCACGAGGGCCCGAGTTCAATCCCCCAGTACCCCCCAAAAAAAAGAAAGAAAGAAAATGGGGATTGAGGTAAAATGACCCCGTCTCAGAAGAAATCTTACAGTAGGACCAGTGGCCATCACTATGTGATATGTCAGTGTGCCATTATGTGGCATGTGACTCTGTACATAACCTCAGGCATACAGAGAAAGCCAGGCATGGTGGTCACACCTGTAATCCCAGCACTGATGGAGGCTGAGGCAGGAGGATCACGAATTGGAGCCCAGCTGAGGCAAGTGACTGAGACGGTTTCCAAAAAGAACACAGATGCAGTAAAATAATTATGGAGTGATGAAATGGGGCTGTTACCTTTGTTTTAATAGAATCCACTTGATAAGTTTTACACAATTAATTGTTAAATATCGGCTGTGTTTAACAACAGTTTAACTACTGCCTTGGAAACTCTTAAGACCGTGCCAGCTGGCTCCTGGGAGTGAGCCAAGTAAGCCGGCTCCAGAGTGCTTGATGGGAAGAACTCTCAACCTGCTGCCGTCCGGCCTCCCTTCACTCTTCTCCAAACCCCACAGCTCCGTCCTCTCCTCGCCCCACACCCCTGGGCCAGCCAGCGTCCCCACGGCCGCCCTCTCCCAGTCCCAAGACTCCGCCCCGTCTCCCCGCGGGCCCTGCTCCCTGCTGTGGTACCCCTGGTTTCAGTGACAACTAAGATGCTGTATTTCTAGGCAGGATGGTCTCAACACACCGGTACAGCCGAGGTGCTCAACTAGTGACTCCTTGTGTGTGTGGTAGCAGGAATCGAACTCAGGACCTTACACTTTCGAGGCAGGCACGGTGCCACTGAGCTAAATCCCCAGCCCTAGTCTAAGACTCTTTATCCCTTAGTACTGGGGATTGGAGCCAGGGCCTTTGCACTGAGTGAAATGCCTGGCTGTTTATTATTATTTAAAAACATTTTTTTTTTGAGACAGTGTCTCACTATGTATCCCAGGCCAACCTTGAACTCACAGTGCTCCTCCTGCTTTAGCCTCCCAAATGCTGGGATTACAAGTGTGTGCCACCCACACCTGACAATTTTCTTCTTCCTTTTTTTTTTGAGATACAATTTTGCTGAATTGCCCAGGCTGGACTTGAACTTCTGATCTTCCTGCTTCAGCCTCCCAGAGTGCTGGGATTACAGGTGAGCCTAGCCACTAATCTACCCTTACAGACCTCTCAGGAATGGGTGCCTTCTCCTTCTCCACTGTAGAAGTGGAGTTCCCGAGGGAAGGGCTTTTCCCATCCTGAAGTCACGAAATGAGCGTGTGTGTTCCTCAGGACCACGCTGTCTCTGTCTTTAAACTTATCGAGCCTCCGATCCCAACCCTGGGGAGGCTGAGGCAGGAGGAGCATCTCGAATTCAGGCCCAGCTTGGGGTACAAAGTGAGTTCAAGGCCAACCTGAACTACACGGTGGGACCCTGTCTCAGAATTGTAAATATGGAAGGGTGGAGGGGCGAAGGGAGGCTAGGGGAATGGGGAAAAAATAAAAACCAAGATATGTCATGTAAAGGTACAAGATACCAATGATGAATGTAACTGTACTGTATATCTAAAACGTACCAATAAAGACTGTTTGTAATAAATAAACCGGAAAAATATGAATTTTTATAATCAGAACAAAGATATCTTAACTTTGAATAGTTAAAAAAAAGAAAACCAGAAATAAAATTATACTGAAAAAGTACGAATGAGGGCTGGGGTCGCCGCTCAGTGGTAGACGGCTTGCCCGGTGAACCAGAGGCCGTGGATTCAATGCCCAGCACCACGGGGGCAGGTCAGTGACACAGCAACTGTGCCTGACCTAGAGAAAGGACTCCGCATCCGGCTCTTGGACGCACAGGAAATGTGTGTTTCCTCCAGGATGCTGCCGCCGTTTCCGCCCTGCGTCTTTCTGAAGGAGGAGTCTCCGGATGTGCATCGTAGGGTAAGGACGCAAAAGGCTTTCAGTAAGACAACGCCGAACACTCGGGATGATCAAGAATACGGCGAATGCTTAACAACTGTTTTAAATACTACTGTAAAAGACAGTGCCAAGAATGATGGGGGTGTGTTCAAAGCCACGGGAGTATTTTGAGTGGGGTTTATGACAATGTGTCTTTCTCTTTTTTTTTTTTTTTCCAGACAAGGTAGGTCTCACAATGTAGCCCAGGCTGGTCTCGAACTCGCAGTGATCCTCCTGCCTCAGCCTCCCCTCAGTGCTGGGACTTCAGGCACATCACCATGTCCGATGGCAACATCTTCTGCTGTAATAATTTTTAAAAAACACTCACTGTAGGAGGGAAAGGGAAGAAAAGAATCAAGATGTGCTATGCCGGCCGGGGATGGGGCTCAGTAGTACTGAGCCTGCCTGGTAAGCACAAGGTCCTGAGTTCGATCCCTGGTACCAGCCCCATACAAACGAAAAAAAAAACAAAAGATGTGCTATGTCCACGTACCACCTTCCCACGAGGAGGGTGCTCATTAGGTACTGCACAGTCACTGTATCTTTTGATCACCCGGTACGTTCCCTCCCCACTGCCCCTGCGCCTCCTCTCCTCCCCACCTGAAGAGCACAGCCCAGCCACTTGGCGGCGCCATCCTCCAAATGAAAACCAGCGGGACCCGTCGTGTCAGTTTACACTGACGCCACGGAAGGTGGCCCACAGCCAGCCTGTACTCAGCTTCCCCCTCCCTTTCAGGGCCAGAACCAACAGGGGTTTTCGCAAAGTGCTGCGCAAAAGCGGGGTCCTCCGCTCTTCCTTTTGGGGCAACTCGCTTGCCGGACGGTCTCTGTTGATCACTACCCGTCGTTATCAGGTGGATCACTCGCGTTCAGTCCACCGAAAAGTCAGGACGCAACTGAACCCGACCGTAAACTCGGTGGATCCTAGTGGCCGCAGTTCGCTTCAGCTACGGGATACTGCACGATTCCTAGGGCAATAACCCTCCATACAGAATCCAAGTCCTGCCAGGCCCAGCCCTTTCGTAGTCTCGTCCAATCACAGGTCGGAGCCTCACTGCAGTGCCCGCCCCCAAGATGATCTTCAATCAGAAGCTCCGCTCTTCCAAAACTCTGCCCTATCCGAAGCCAAGCTGTCTAGTCCCTCCCCGCTCCCATTAGGCCCCGCCTCTATCCCCCGGGCCTAGAGTTAAACTGTGCCCAGTCAGAGGCCTCTCCCTCTCCTGAGCCCCGCCCCTCCGGGCCTGCTTTTCACAGGGACGCAGAGCGGCAGATGACGCCATCAGGCCGCGCCCCGAGGAGGTCACAGGCGTCCTCCAACATGGCGGCGGCGGCTTTGCGCGGCGGCTGGTGCCGCTGTCCGCGGGTGAGTTGTCGTGCGGGGCTGGCAGTGGATGTTTCGGTGGCTATGGGTGCCTAACCTCCAAGGTCTCGTCATTGTCCTAGGCCCTTGGCTTCCGTGGCCCTTTGCGTGGTCTCCGCGGGAGGCGTGGGGTTGGGGCACTGGGTCAGCGGGGCCGTGGCAGGGAGCACGTAGCGAGGCCTGAGGGCGGGGGACCGGGTACCTCTCGCCTACCGATCAGACTGCACGCTCCCGGGGGAGTGCAGCGTTGCTGGCCAGCCGTGCCCCGTGGAGGAAAAGCCCGTGACAGTCACAGCTCGCGTCAGCATCCTGTGTCCACCGCGGAAGTCGTAGACTGCACCGCCTCCCCTTGCATCGCCCAGCGTGAAAGGGCGAGGGACTCAAGAGCTGGAGCTCTCGGTGCCGCAGGGTGGCCAGGTCAGGCTGTGTGATGACACGCGGCGGAAAGTTTGACCCCGTTTCGTCAGATTAGGAAACGGGGGTCTCAGAAACTGCACACAGCCCCAGAGCTAGTGGGCGGTTGAACTGGTCCAAAGCCCAGGTAAGTCTTGACTTCAGAACCAAACTTAAGAGGAAAGAAGGTAGCTGAATGTTGGGAGGTAGATGTCTTTGAATTAGAACCGATATTTCTTTTTCTTGGTCTGTTTGTACCTGCACTCTCAAGATTTACCCTTGAGGAAAAACAGTTGACAGCGCTACCTGTGTAAGTGTAGAGTGTTGCTTGTGGTTCCCTGAGCTAGGTGGGCAGCAGGGAAAGGGGGAAGCCTCCCCGCCTCCCCATGGAAGATGATTCTCTTAGGCCATTTGACTTCAGTGCACCAGACTCTGTACAGAGTGGAACAGCATCAGCCTACAGCTGTAAGTTCATTTGGTGGGAGAAGAAAGTGCCTTGGACATGGGGTTGGCCGAGTCTTCGCCCAGAAGGACTCCCCTGAACTCTTCCACATGCAGCCCAGCCCTTGACCAGAACATTGCAAGTGTGTTCCAGGGTTGTCAACAGTTTGCTTCTGAAAACCCCGATTTTGTACCTTTGGGAATGTGGTAGAAGTGGGATAGGCTGGGACAGAGGACTGCTCCCCGCCATCGTGGTGGCCCAACAAAGCAGCTTTGAAGGGACTAAGTTGCACTGCTATTTTTAGCCTTCCTCCCCAACAGGTGGGCATTTCTTGGGAGCCCCACCCCATTTTCCAATGCAAGAATAGGCCCCAGAGATGCAGATGAGGCGTTTCTTTTTGTACCAGATTCTTTCACTGACATCTCAGACTTTGGGAAGATGGCAGATTGGCTGGCACCCAGCAGGCATGTGATCAACCTCAGCAAATGACTTGCAAGCGGTCCTTGTGTTTTCGTGTCCTGCTTACTTCCCAGTGCCCCTCTTGTTTGAATGGATCTTTTCCTCTTCTCTCCACCCAGCGGTGCCTTGGGAGTGGAGTCCAATTACTTTCCAGCCACAGCCTACCCCATGGCTCAGCCTATCAGATACGCCGGCCAGGTGGAGAGCTACTATTGGTGAGTGGCCCAGCAGGCCAGCAAGCAGACAGAAAGGAGGAATTGAGAAGTCGGACTTGGTGGGCAGAGGAGGGGCTGAGCCATGGAGCTCATTCAGAGAGGGACATATTGCAGCAGCCCATGTCCTCTTCCCCAGCACCCTTGCAGGCAGCTGATCACCTCCCCATCCTGTCCTGGGGCCCTCGTGGGTGTGGAGCAGGCCCTGGGATTCTTTCTCTTGATTGTCCACTCCTGGAACCCATAGTTTTGCAGCCCCAGAGGGTGTGGCAGGACTGGTACAAGGTGACAGAATTCTTGAAGGTCTTAGAACCTGGTCTTTCCTGGAGAAAGGCTGGCCAGGATGGTCGGAGTGGGGATGGCCACACCTTGTGAGGAGTGGCAGCCTGGTGCTGTTGTCCTTTATGGCTTGACATGGCCAGGGACGTGGTTACCCCAGGTAAAGAATCACAAGTGGCTACTTTTGAGTGACTTGATTCTCTTAGTTATTCTTTAAGCTGTCCCCCGACCTGCCCTTCCCTTCCCTTCCCTCCCCTCCACTCCACTCCCCTCCTTTTTCTTTTCTTTTCTTTTTTTTAAAAATTTATTTTTGACACAGGGTTGCACCAAGTAGCTCAGGCTGGTCTTGAATTCACTATACAGCCCAGGCTGGCCTCAGACTCATGGAGGTCCTCCTGTCTCAGCCTCCCAAGTACTGGGATTATAGGCAGGTGCCACCACACTTGCTTATATCTCTTCTTCAGTTCACTGCTCTCAACCTCTCACATGATGAAACAAGAATTTCAGTTTAGTTCAGTCTGGTTCTGAGTCTTTTTCCTTAGGTGTATATATTATTGTGAGTTAATACATAATTGTACATATTTGTAGGTACAGTGTGACATTTCACTACACATATCTGATGTGCAGTGATAGATCTGAGTAATTGGCATATCTTTCACCTCAGACATGGATCATTTCTTTGTGTTAGATACATTCAAAATCTCAGTTATTTGGTTGTGTTTTTCTTTTTGTTTTTTTGTACCTGGGATCAAACTCAGGACCTTGTGCTTGTGAAGTAAGTGGCAGAACTACTCAGCTAAATCCCTGGCCTTGGTTGGTTTTTTGAGACAGGGTCTCACTATGTAGTTCAGGTTGTTCTTGAATTCGCCTCAACCTCCCAAGTGCTGGGATTATAGGCATTTTAGAACAGTTTTAGGTTTACAGAAAAATTGGACAGGAAGTTCCTCTCTATATTCTGTCCTGGTCTGGACTCAAGTTCTGTTTGTGGAGGACCTTTCACCTTTCAGATGAGCCAGAACTGGTCCAGTGTTGCCAGCAGAATCTCTGGTTAACTCAGGGTCTCTTGCCTCTTGGTGCTGTCATTCTGTGGGTTCTGACACATGAGTGAGACCGTGTCCACCTTTACAGGTCCATGCAGAGCACTGCCACTGATTTGTCCTCCCTTCCCAACCCCTGACAAACACTCACCTTCTTACCGTCTCCCTTGTTTTGCCTTTTCCAAAATGTTCTGTAGTTAGAATCATCCAACATGTGTCCTTTTCTGACTGGTTTCTTTAGGTAGTTATAGGCATTTAAAGTTCCTCCATGGCTTCCAAGTCCTTTTCTCTTCATTGCTAAGTAATATTTTCTGTCACCACAATATAAGTTATCCCTTGGTTCCAGGACCCCCTCCTCATACCCAAATATCTTATATATGATAATGTCTTTTTTTTCTTTTCTTCTGGGGATTGAAATCAGGACCTTGAGAGGCAGGTGGCAACACCACTGAGCCAAATCCCTGGCCCTGATAATGTCATCTTAACCAGGCATGGTGGCATACACCTGTAGGCCTAGCACTCAGGAGGCTGAGGCAGGAGAATAACCACGCGTTCAAGGCTAGCCTGGACTACATAGCAAGACCTTGTCTCAAAAGATGAAACCAAACACAGCAAATAATAAAAAACAAAACAACACAATAATGTAGTCCTTAACAAGGAAAAATCCTGTATATGCTTAGTATGAACAATTTTTTCGTTTGTTTTTGAGACAAGTTCTCCCATTGTGGGCCATGCTGGCCTCAAACTTTCGGCAGTCCTGCCTCAGCCTCCTGAGTGCTGGGATTATAGGCGTGCACCACCACCCGCAGCAGTACAGTGTTTCCACTCATATTTTCAGCCTGTGCTTGGTCGAATCCCAGGCCATGGAACCTGAGGCTAGAGCGGGCTGACTGTAGCCAGGTGTTGGGGCCCACACCTGTAATCTCAGCTCTGTGGGGGCTTAGTCAGAAGGAACGCAATTTGGAGTGAGCACAATCTGGGCAACTTAGTGAGACCCTGTCCCAAAAGGTCGTGGGTTCAGTTCCCAGTGTCGAAAAGAAAAGGCTGACTGTACAGTGTATCGGTGGTGCATCTTTATTTCATCCTCTGTTGCTATAGTAAATGAATTAGCCGTTCACTGCTGCCTGTGTCAGCAGCAGAGCTGGAATTTAGAATTCCCGACACCCCATCCACCCATCTGTGCAGCTGGGCGTTTCCCTCCACGTCCTTCTCTCACTTCTCTAAGTTTTTCTTTCATGTCCTTTCTAGTCCAAATCCTATTCTTCTGGACACAGAAAAGGCTTTCTGTCTGGCTTGCTGGACAACATCAAACAAGAATTAGCCAAAAACAAAGAGATGAAAGAGAGTATAAAAAAATTCCGAGACGAGGCCAAGAAGCTGGAAGAGTCGGACGCACTCCAGGAAGCCCGCAGGAAATACGTGAGTCCGCCCACCACGCCTCCTTCCCCCTCACACGCGGGTCCTGGCAGGGCCTCCCCGGCCTGGGCAGCCAGAGGGTGTGGCAGGGCTGGGGCTGCGGTTGCGGCTGCGTGTGAGGGGGCCCAGAGATGGTTGCTCTGAGCCTCCGACCCACCGGGGCCGTGTCTGCACTGGAGAACTCCGGCTCAGAGCTGCAGACGCCTGCTCCTGAGAGCTCCCTGCTGCGGCTCTGGAAACTGGGTTACGGGGCCAGTGTTACTCATCACTGCCACGGTCTCCTCTTGGACAGCTGCCAGGCGCCAGCCTCTGGACCGAGCTCGGCAGTGTTCTGTGTACACCATGTCCTGTGTGAACCGAGACACCTTCACTTCCCGAGTGGCTGCTGGGCACCATGTAGGGCCCTAGGCAAGGCCTTTTCCTTATGCCTGTCAGGCCAGCATACTGAAGGCTGAGGCAGGAGGATCGTCACAGATTTGAGGCCAACCTGGGCTATTTGCAAATGAAAAAAAGATGAAACTGCAGTGGCCAGAGGCTGGGTGGGAGGCAGAGCGAGTGAGGTAGCCAGGCATGCGCTGAGGTAACGTGGCTGAGGACCACCTTTTGCCACCCAGAGAAAGACCCCAAGCATAGCTTCTCGGCCTTTGGCTAAGATCAAGAGTAGGGAGACCGCGAGCTGGGGCTCCAATGCTTGGGAGCTGGCGCCAGGCAGCTGAGCTGTGGCTTCCGGGAAGGGGGACAGCTGCCGAGACCCAGAGGATCCTGCAGTGGGCAATGGCAGAGGAGCTCCGCTGGTCTGAGCTGCCGAGGAGATGCTTTGCCTCCTGGCATCTTGGGTTCCAAGTCTCCGGCTGTGTCTGAGCAGAGGAAATGACGCTCTTCACTTTAGAAAACCATCGAGTCGGAGACCGTGCGCACCAGTGAGGCAATCAGGAGGAAGCTGGGGGAGCTGACGGGGACGGTGAAGGAGGTAATGGGTTTCTGGGCTGGGGTCCCCGTCCCCCTGGGTGGCAGAGACATTGGCTCCGGGGATGGACGGACAGTAAGGCCTGGGGCAGCACCAGGAGTTGAGAAGCAAGGGGCCCGGAGGTCAGACCACAGCCATTCGCAGGAAGTGACCGCCGAAGTCCGTACCGTGGGACAGGAGGGAAGGAGAGGGTGAACTGAACTGGGGCAGGGGTCAGCTCAGTGGGGAGCGCTTGTCCAGCCTGGGTGAGGGCTTGCTTTCCATCCCCGGGCCACCTAAAGCATGAGAGAAGGGAAGTAGGAGGTGTGGGGCTTTCAGAGAAGGGGTAGAGACGCCAGGCGACTGAGGCAGGAGGGTCACCACAAGTTTAAGGCCAGCCCGAACTACACAGCAAAACTCTGTCTCCAAAACCCAAAGTGGGGCAGGCCTGGCCTTGGGCGTCCCCACTCCATTCTCACTTGGCAGCGCTGTACCCATGATAGCCCTGTCGCCGGACAGTTCGAGGTCCCCTCCTGGCCATTTCTGGCCTGCGGTTTCAGCCCCCCAGAAGTCAAATGCAGTGTCCTGGGGTGTGCCCTGTGGCCTCCAGAGTGCTGTGCAAGCGCCACCCCCTTGTGTCTCAGTAGAGCCTCGACGGAGTCAGCAAGACCGACTTCGGCCGGAAGATCAAGGAGGGGGTGGAGGAGGCTGCCAAGACAGCCAAGCAGTCGGCTGAATCCGTGTCCAAGGGTGGGGAGAGGCTGGGCAGGACTGCGGCGTTCAAAGCCATCTCCCAGGTGGGTGACGGGCTGGGCGACGCAGCCGCGGGCTTGGAGGTTGGTGGGCCGGTGCAAGCGGGCACCGTGGCTGCTGTCCCGGCAGGGTGTGGAGTCCGTAAGGAAGGAGATCGACGAGAGCGTGCTGGGGCAGTCGGGGCCCTACCGCAGGCCTGAGCGGCTCAGGAAAAGGACGGAGTTCGAGGGAGAGAAGTTCAAAGAGGAGAAAGTGTTCGAGCCCAACGAGTAGGCCCCACTGGCCCTCACCGCCCTGGGACGGGAGGGCAACGGGCCGGGGCTGTGCCTCATGCCCGCCGCCCACCGTCTTCCCAGGGAGGCCCTGGGGGTCGTATTGCACAAGGACTCCAAGTGGTACCAGCAGTGGAAGGACTTCAGGGACAGCAACGTAGTGTTCAGCCGTGAGTGTGGCCGCCCCACCGAGTCTCAGCAGGCGGGGCCCGGGTCTGGGACAGACAGGGCCCGGGTCTATGGAAGAGGAACAGGGGCAGGAAGAGCGAGGCACCTCTTGAGGACCCTGGAGCCAGGAGGCACATCAGCTCGAGGAGGCCCTGCGGCGGGCAGGTGCTATCAGGGTGGCCTCGGGCCACGCACCTGTCCCTTGTCCCAGAGGACCACTAGAGGCCTGTGTTGCCTTTTTGGCGGGAGCAGCAGTCAGCAGGGGTGGCCACGTGGCCACGGCCAGGGTGTCTGTGGCCTGGGCAGGTCCCCGAGTGCAGATGAAGCAGCTCGGGTCCTGTCAAGGGTCTCTTGGGCCACGTGTGCCGGGCGTCCTCTGGGAGGGACCCTTCTTCCAGTGCCCGCACCCAAACCTCGCAGGCTTCTTTGAGATGAAGATGAAGTATGATGAGAGTGACAATGTGCTCATCCGGGCCTCCCGGGCCCTGACGGACAAGGTCACCAACGTGCTGGGTGAGCGTGCTGCCCCAGGCCTGCCCTGTGCCCCACCGCGGCCCAGTGAGGGAACTGGGCCTGGACCCACTGGGCCTTCCTCTTCCTCCGCAGGGGGCCTGTTCTCCAAGACGGAAATGTCCGAGGTGCTCACCGAGATCCTGCGCGTGGACCCAGCCTTCGACAAGGACCGGTTTCTGAAGCAGTGCGAGAGTGACATCATCCCCAACGTCCTAGAGGTGCCCCCGATCCCTCACCCTCACTCCACCCAGGCAGCAGCTCCTGGGTGCAGGTCCAGAGGGCCCCAGGGGAGCTGGGGGTTTGTCTGCTCCGGTGGTGATTATTCCAGAGCAGATTCTCGTCCTCCTCGAGCTCAGGCAGTCATGGCTGCCTCCCCTCACCCGAAAAGGGCCCTGTGCCCTGTGTCCTTGCGCTCATGCTCCGTTCCTGCCTGCTGCGCCAGGCCCTGGTGCTGCCCCTGCGCTGCTGATGCCTTCCTAGGGTTGAGGTGCAGCGCTCTGACATGGGGCGCCCGGGCCACAGCCAAGGGGGTTTTCTTGGCACCGTCTCTGGCAACCTCAGAATCCATAGTCCAGGACCCTGGCCCCACTGTGGCTTATGAGCAAGGAGGGGGTCTTGCTCACCCACCCCAGGCTCCTCCTGCAGTCTGCCTTCTGCATGCCCTCACCCTCACATCCCGCACCCTGGGAGCCAGAGCTGGGCACCATGGTACAGATCACAGGGGTCTCAGTGCCAGGCTCTTGACCCCCATGGGCACCCCGTGGTCCCCCGTCTTCCCTGTGCCAGCACCCATAGGCCAGAGCCCCACATACTCAGCTGGGCCCTCCAGGTGCAGGGCCTTGGGAGAGCTGCGCCTTCTCCAGCTGCTGCTGCCTCAGGAGCCCACTTACCTTCTCGCACTTATTTTTTTCCTTTCCCTTTTTAGGCTATGATTTCTGGAGAGCTCGACATTCTCAAAGATTGGTGCTATGAAGCTGTGAGTACTGTTTTTGTCTTCTCTTTTTCCGCCAAAAAAAAAGTAAAATCCCAGAAGGGCTGGGGGTGGACTTCACTGGCACGGTGTGGCTGGCTTCCATCTCCGGCACCGGAAGAAGTCCTGGGTGCCAGGGGTACGACTGCAGTGGTATCATATTGTCTGCTCTGACTTCCTCCCGCAGAGCTGGCAGCCCCGCATCCCTGTCCCAGCCGGGGGCACATCTGCGCCTGTGGGTGCACACTGGGCCCCAGTTAGAAATCCCTCACCTGTGATCCCAGCTACTCCACAGGCTGAGGGAGGAGGGAGGATCGCCAGTTCAAGGCCAACTGAGTGACTTAGAGACTTTGTCTCAAAAGTAAAAGGGGCTGGGGGGTGCAGCTCAGTGCTAGAGTATGACCCTAGGGTGCATGGGGCCTGGGGTTGCATCCCCAGTACTGCAGAAAATTAAAAAGACCCCTCCCTCCCCTGTGTGGGGCCTGGGGAACAGCCCAGTGTCCCAGAGCTGCTGGTTTCCCTGGGCTTCCTCCCCAACCCTTTGGTTAAGGAGCTTCACAGGGAGAGGACTCGAGCACCCTGGAAGATGTGGTTTCTGGTGACCCCTCTGCTCCAGTGCAGCCTGGGGGCCCGGGGCCAGTGAGAGGGGAAAGGGTCAGCGTGTAACTGTGGGTGCTGACCCGGCGCCCTCAGTTCTGGGGTCTGAGGGTGATCTCCCCATGTCCTGGGCCAGCGGGAGCTGCAGAAGAGCACACAGGTGCTGACCCGCCTCACAGTCCTGCCCTGGCGGACCCGGCTGCGGCCGTCTGCCCTGGGCCGCCCCTGGCCACCCCCGCCCTCCCTGCCCCTCCCAGGGCTGCTGCTTCCAGGTTTTGGTTGTTTTTCTTTCCCCAGCTTCTGTGTATGAAACAGTCCCAGTTCTTTTTTGGCTCATTCACTTGTGCTTGCGGTTCACAAACAATTTTAAAAGCAGAGAAGATTCTGTCAGATTTTCTTTTTAAATGCTCCACTGCACTGTCACTAATCCAGCAGGCATTTATGAGTTGCACAGCTTTTCTTTTTCTTTCCTGTTTTTTTTTTTTTTTTTTTTTTGGTGTGTGTGATCATTAAGCCATGGCTGATCATCTTTGTCAGAGAGCTGCTGGTGTCCCTACAAATGCAGCTGAAGTTCTAGCTGCTTCCACTAAAGTGTTTTTGAACTTTAACAGTGCCTATAATTCCAGCACTCTGCTGAGGCAGAAAAATTGCAAGTTCGACCTCAGCAACTTAGCAAGACCCTATCTTAAAATGTAAAAATTTTAAAAAGGCTAGGGATGTAGCTCGGTGGGAAGGCCTTGGGTTAATACCCTGTATTGGGTGGGTGGTGAGCTGAGCACAGTGGCATCTGCCTACCATCCCAGGTTCTTGGAAGGCTGAGGCAGGAGGATCACAAATGTGAGACCCTGTCTCTAACAAATTGGAAGGGGCCAGGGAGATGGCTCAGTGTGGTAAACCGTAAAGGAAAACAACAAGCAGGATTGGCTCTGGGTTTTATTCCTGGTGGGTAAGTGATTTCCACAAAAAGTAGCTGTCTTGGGAAAGAGTCTCCCATCCTGTGTGCCTGGCAAGTCCGGGGAAGCCGGGACTAAAGCCAGGTGGGGCTGCACCTAGCCTGCGCCTGGGCACAGGGCAGAGTGGTGGAGCTCGTTTCTTGGGGCTGGTCTGAGAGCCTGGGTCAGGACAGACCCTAGAAAAGGCATTGGATTCTGGGCCACAGTTCCTGGGAGGTGAACATGGGACTGTAAGGGTCAGCCAGGGCCCCCCGTGTCCCGCTTGGCGGCCAGCTCTACTTGGCCGGCATCCTGCTCTCTCCGTAATGAGAAGCTCGTGTGTGACTCAGGCCAGCAGCCGGGTGACACCTTCCCTCCGCTTGGCCTGGTTCTCTCGGTGCCACACAGCCATGAGGGTGGTGGGTGCCGGCCCTGCGCGGAGCTGAGTGTGGCCTGTGCTGTCGGCCTCTCCTTGCAGACCTACAGCCAGCTGGCCCACCCGATCCAGCAGGCCAAGGCCTTAGGCCTCCAGTTCCACTCCCGCATCCTTGACATTGACAACATTGATGTGAGTGTCCGAGGGGCCCCAGTGGGCGGGGGTGGCCTTGCCTGAGGTGAGAAGCTGCCTTGGCGGGCTTGGCGGGCAGGCATGCAGATGAGCCCCGGGCCCCTGGGCAGGAGGAGGCAGGCTCTGTAACCAGGCTTGGTGGCTGGCTCTATAGAGTGCCTGGGCCCCGTCCCCTCTACCTCGTTCGTGCCTCCCAGTTAAGGGCCTGGCACCGGCCCCAGCAGGAACGGGTGCCCTGGCTGCCCTGCCCATGTGGTCCCGGGAGTGTGGGTTTTCCACCTCCAGGGCTGCAGGCAGGGCGGACCTGCCATTACACCCTCTCCTGCTCTCCTGCAGCTGGCCATGGGCAAGATGATGGAGCAGGGGCCGGTGCTGATCATCACCTTTCAGGCCCAGCTGGTGATGGTGATCCGGAACCCCAAGGGCGAGGTGGTTGAGGGCGACCCGGTGAGTTGGTGGGGGGGTGCCCGCTCAGAGCCAGCTGGTTCTGGGGCCTTCTGGGGATGCGGATTCCTGCCACCCTGAGTGGTGACTGGGGGACACTGCCTAGCCCGGGGCCCCTCAGTCCCTCCCAGAGCTCCTGTGTCCGCCCGCCCCTGCATCCCAGCTGGGTGCAAGCCTCTATTCCCAGCTCTTAGGCTGAGGCAGGAGGATCGAAAGTGCAAGCCTTTCCCGGCAATTTAGACCCCGTCTCAGAAACCCTAAGTGAATGCCCCTCCTCGGCGTGGGAAGGTCATCTCAGTCCCCGCCCGCCGACTGCAGGACAAGGTGCTGCGCATGCTGTACGTGTGGGCGCTGTGCCGTGACCAGGACGAGCTCAACCCCTACGCAGCCTGGCGCCTCCTGGACATCTCCGCCTCCAGCACGGAGCAGATCCTGTAAGGCGGTGGCGACGCCTGGAGCCCGGGGCCCAGGGCTCCACCCGCGGCAACTCTAGACCTCGGGACCAGACTGTCCTGCCCGAGCTCTGCCTGGACAGGGAAGGGGCCGGGCTGCCGA